GAAAATAAACTTTTTAGGCAAAACCCAATGAGACAGTTTGTTAAAAAAAAGATTTGCTGGAAAAATGTTGAAAAAACTCAAACTTCAACATGTATTTAAGAGACGCAACAAACAAGCAATCAAACAAAAGTAGTAAAGAAAGTTCCTAGCCAGGTGCCAGAGGCTCACACCTATAATCGCAGCTAATCAGGAGGCTGAGATCTGAGGATTGCAGTTCAAAGCCAGCACAGGCAGGTACAGTGCCTAGGTCCAGAGTTCAAGCCTCACGACCAACAACAACAACAAAAAAAGAAAGTTCCTTAGTATTCACTGGGACTCACGATAAAGGGATTCTTTTTTTTTTTGGTCGGTTATAGGGCTTGAACTCAGGGCCTGGGTGCCATCCCTGAGCTCTTCAGCTCAAGGCTAGCACTCTACTACTTGAGTCACACCGCAACTTCTGGTTTTCTGGTGGTTAACTGGAGGTAAGAGTCTCATGGGCTTTCCTGCCCAGGTTTGGCTTTGAACTATATCCTCAGATCTCAGCCTCCTGAGTAGCTAGGATTACAAGCATGAGCCACCGGCATCTGGCTAAGGGATTCAATTTTATTCTCCATTTTTCAAGTCTCAGCTAAAAAAACCCCCCAAAAACAAAAAAAACCCCAAAGATTAAAATAATGAAGTCTCCAGGACCAAAACAAAACAATGGTCATTAAGTAATGGCTTGAAAAGCAGAAAACACACACACTCCTTCCATAAATCCATAAATAAACTTTCATGAAGTATTTTTAAGGAACTACTGAATGGATATTATTTCCAATAAGGAACAGTGGAAAAGAACAGTGGAAAGAATAGATTCATACCCAGATTAGACCAACATACCAATTCTGACACATATCATTTACAATAACACAGAGGACACATCCCAAAAGCACTGCACAGGGCTAATAAATCAAAGTGGGGATCAGGGTATGGGGTTAAAGAAAGAGCAAAGGCTAGGAAAGAATGTAGATGTAGCCAATTAATTTTAGGTTTGTTATCTTACTCATTTAATAAATCAGTAAACATGCACCCTTGATATACCAAACTGCAGGAGCCTGTACTTTGGCCAAACTTTATGTTTTCACCTTTGGAGTGTTTTGCAGTTGCTAGCACCAAACAGTCATGATGAAGTTCCTCTTTGGACCTGTGATCTAGGCTTGTACTCAGAGGAAGCATGGACCGAGCTTTCCTCTTCTTGATCGAGGCTTCTGAAATGTAATAAAATAATGCCACGCTGAAAAGTGGATGAGAAATAAAATAGAATGGATGTCTATTGCACAGATGTGCTCTACCAGAGGGATCTGTGCCACTAGACAAGCAGATTCTGACTCCTACATTAAACTATCTAGTTAATGTCCACAATATACACAAAATGGCCCTGGTAACATCAATGAAACAATAGCCACTGCTATAAAACATTTTATCAGGAGTTAAGAAACAGTTCAAAACCACTAACTATAACTGAAACATAAGCAGAACACCCACCCTATTTTTCAAGCCTATCACAAATCTTAGAGTTCTAAGTTGTATATAGTAATTTAATAAAGCTTAACACTATATTTTGGTTATTAGATACTAACCTGATTTCTCTTTAGGTGGTTCCTTTTTCAGTAAAGTAACTTTGTTATTAATAGTAACTTTTGACTTTTCAAAGCTGGAAGAAACTGGAGTGCAGACAATTGATTCTCTAGCATCTACACCATGGGGGAAAATAAAGAACAATGATAAGAACTATGAAGAGTCTAATTCTAAAAATGAAAAGCATTACCAGGCCTAGCAATTCAAGTTCACCCATCCCAGGCAGACTTTGGAAAATTATCTCTTGTCTATCTCACTAAGAAAAAATGTAAACTTCTGGTCTCTTCAACTTTATATCAGAAAACAAGAAATCCCTAAACTCTGTTCAGGTGACAAGGCACTTAAATATCTGGATCACCAAGTGCCA